AAGTATACAGTAGATCCACCCGAGAAAATGGGAAATCACATAACTATACCAGTGTTATATACGAAGGTATAGGGATGATAAATGCGAAGACGGCAGAAAAAGTATGAAATATTTATCATATCACCCGTTAATTTGATGTATATAAAAACCTGCGCTTCCTGCGCAAGGGAAGATTGAAAATATGGCATAGATCATCGAAATGAACTAAATCAAAGAAATCACATGAAGAAGTGAAGTAATCGTTAATATTAGTTATTTTGAAGCGGTTTAGATATCGATCAAAACCAGGGCGCTTATATATATAAGCGCCCTGATCAAAACTGTCAGTGTATTAATTGATGCTAATTCTAGAAATACACCAATCCAGATGTAAAATCAACAAAGAAGAATCGAGGTATACTTCCTCCTGTATTTAAAGGTGGAACAGATGAAACGAAGTAGAAAAAGTAGGCCAACCAAATGATCAGCGACAGCCAGACATGCAATGCCGAATATCGGCTGATAGAGATTTATTTCGATCCAGGTCTCAGTCAAAACTATTAAATTTCCGAGAATAGTAAAGAAAAATAATGATCACAGTGAATATAACGTTAACTGTGTCACAAACCAAAATGCGTTATTTTTTACTTCAAAAGAAGTTAGATTAAGGTTGCTCTCGTTTGCATCTATTTTGGATAATGTCTGGTTTCATGCTGTCGTTGACCGCAGCCACGAAGACTTAGTAATACTGCTTGATGACATTCATGGCTTTCTAGTCACTATACAAATAACTAAGAATGAAATTAATATAGGCGTAGATAGACAGTATTAACCAACACCAGCATGCCAATTCTTCCTGCCTCGCAGCTTTTTAATGACATTTCATCTGTCCCCATATATCTACTAAATTATCAAGGCATGTCACCAGGAGTACAAGCTGAACAAATGAGATTAACGTTTCTAAAATAGATAACTTAACGTTTCGGAAAGGTGTTTAATGTTGTGAAACTGCGGGAATCTTTAATTCTTTACCATTACAACTACGAGATACTATTATACCCTGCTATTTCTCAGTTCAAGCTCTAAACTGTTAGAACATCATTATAGAACAGAATATGTAAATGTCGATATTCCCCAAGACGTTTGCCATGACGTTTGTCTGTATCAACCATTATCAAACTCGTTCACAACATAGCCGGATTTTGAGGGAAGGTGTGGGGAGGTGCACACCTCCCCTGAGATCGTTTTGCACCTCTCCTGAAAAGTCATGCACCCCCTAGACCCTTGCTTAGGGTCTACACTTCGTAAGAACGTTTTTCTGTAAAATTGAAACAATGATAGCCATTCATCTCTGTGTCAAGTACCCTTTTAATGCAATGTTTCGAAAGAAACTTTGTAGTAATTCTAATGAAGGACAAAATTGGATGAGTTGTACAGTCATAATTGACTAATACACTGATACATATGTACACTACATGTATACGCCACGTCGTTGACTTTGGCCCGTTCTGGTCGTGAGCTAGACCGCTGCACCTCCCCTAAATTTTTTCCCCCCTTCCCCACTATCCCCACCAAAATCCGGCCTTGGTTCACAAGAGGGACAACGACAACAACAGCAGCAATAACGACGACAATAGAGACCTTAAGATCTAGGACGCAACGTGACGACGCCGACTAGTAATAATATACAATGAAATGAACTTTAAGAAAAGAAATGAATAATTAAAATACTCATGGGACATTTAGACGCCGTCCTCGGTCTGTTTACAACCGGTTAACCAGAGCTTTTACGTCCTCAGTGTGTACAACGTTTGCATTTTAGGCTATGTTTACATTGTATCGGATCACTTTGCGTCCGACGCAAAAACCATACCGGATAGGGCTTCTGTTTACATATGAAATGTTGTTATCGTCTCAATTTCTGCAACGGACCGGTGGTGCGGCGGTTCGCTCTTCGAAGTGGTGCGCGATGTATCGGATCGCTTTTTGCAACGCTCTCATTGCAATGTAAACACCAATCGGAGCAATTTTCGGTTCAATGCGTGACTCAAGATGGCATCAGGGAAACAAAGACTTGCTATTCTAATCTTATTTGCGGGTATAGCTTGCTCACTTATAATATTTTTGCAGCCTAGACCTAGGCCTTCTATTTTTATTGATATTTTTTTAATATTCAGCGCTTTTTTACATGAAAAGACTGGGACTAGGTGATTTGGGGGCGGGGCGGAGGAAGGATACAAGCCTGACGCAATCCTCCGCCCCGCCCCCAAATCACCTAGTCCCAGTCTTTTCATGTGAAAAAGCGCTGAATATGAAAAAATATAAATAAGACTAGAAGGCCTAGGTCTAGGCTGATATTTTTGTATTTAGTTGGGCGAGGGCGGAAGCTGTTTACACTTGGGCCGTAACGTTTCGTGAACGAAGCAAAAACCGATCCGATACAATGTAAACATAGCCTTAGTCACGTACGAAATGGATATACGATAAGAATTCTTTACAAAAATTAATTTGGGTGAATTTGTTTTGGCCGTCGGGTCGCTTTGCCGTCCTATATCATAAGGTCTCTAATAACAGCAACAACGACGACAATAGCAACAACAACAACAGCAGCAGCAACAACAACAACAACAACAACAACAACAACAACAACAACAACAACAACAACAACAACAACAACGAGAACAACAACAACGAGAACAACAACAACGAGAACAACAACGAGAACAACAACGAGAACAACAACGAGAACAACAACGAGAACAACAACAACGAGAACAACAACAACGAGAA